CAATTACAAATAATGCTGCAGCCATCATTCTTGCACAAATATCTTTTGCTATTTGTTATGTGTATTTCTATAGTGTAGAGTCCTGGAAGTGCAATTACTGTATCATGGTGGTGACTGTACACATTTTTTATTTTGAGTAATAAGCCCTGTAAATTTGCCTTCCGTAGAAGTGGTACCGACATGTTATCCAGTTTATTTTTTCAATTGAGAGAATCCTTTTCTTCATACTCTTGCTAGCACAATAAACTTCCTAATCAGCTGTCTGATAATCAAATAAAGGGGCCATGCGCCATGGCTCATGCCTGTAATCCCAGCACTTGGGGAGGCCAAGGTGAGCAGATCACCTGAAGTCAGGAGTTTGAGACCAGCCTTGCCCACATAGCGAAACCCTATCTCTGCTAAAAAGACAAAAATTAGCTGGGTGTGATGGCCTATGCCTGTAATCTTAGTTACTCGGAGGCTGAGGCATGAGAGTCACTTGAACCCGGGAGGCAGAGGTTGCAGTGAGCTGAGATCACACCACTGCACTCCAGCCTGGGCCAGAGAGTGAGACTCACACACACACACACACACACACACACACTAATGAAATAAAAAAATAAAGGAAATGTTGCCCTCCTGACTTAACTGTGGGGAGGTACAGCAGATGACATGTGGACATTAAGCAGTAGGGTATTGCCCCATCTGCTTTTCAGCTAAACGTTCAAGATATTTTGTGTAACTTCAGTTTGTTTCTGTGGTGACCAGGTCTGGAGAAGGCCAAGCCAGAGGCACCTCTTTAATACCTTTGTGCCAAGCAGCTCACACAAGGGAAGAATCACCTTCCTGGTTCCCGACACTCATTCCTCCACTCTTTCCTCTGTAAATGGCAAGGGTGAATGAGTGTGCTGTCTGGACTGGTCAAGGTTCTCCAGAGAAACGGAATCACCCGTCTAACTATTATCTACCTAGTTTATTTATTTTGAGGAATTAGCTCACATGATTGTGAGAGTTCAAGGCAGGCAGGCTGGAGACCCACGGAAGAGTTGTTATTCGAATATTAGGATGTTCTGTTGGTAGAGTTTCCTCTTCTGCCAGGAAGGTCAATCTCTTTCTATTCAGGGGTTCAACTGATTGGATGAGGTCCACTCACATGAAGTAGAGCAAGCTGCTCTACTCAAAGTCTACTAATATAAATGTTTATCTCACCCAAAAGACCCCTTCTCAGAGACCTCCAGAATCATATTTAGCCACATACCTGGGCACTGTGGTCTAGCTAAGTTGACACATAAAATTAACCACTACTGTCTCTACATTATTCACTGACAGTTTTTCTTCTTGCTATTTCCACAACGATTTGCCCACCTGAGACATATCGTAGCTAACAGAATCCTGCATCTTACAGGAGTCCCATACAGACCTATAATCTCAGAGCTATTGGCACATGTTCCCTCAGTTCATCTGTTACATCTCATGAGCAGAAATTAAGCTATTTGGCTTTTAGACACTAAATGTGATCCTTAGACAAGCATTTTTCCTCTCTCTCTCATTTGTACATTGTCAGTTATTTTTTGCCATCGGTGATCAACATGGAATTCCGGTTTTGATTCTATGAAATGAACATCTGGGTGGAGTGGTTAACTGGGATACATTCTCTGTAGGTGGTAGAGGAAAGCTTATCTAGTGTGTGAGTCTGTTTTAATGGGCTATTTGTTTGTCCTGAGACTCTCAGTACTTCCTGGTATTTGAGTCTGCAGTGTTGAGAAGCGGTTCACATCTTATCTATCTAATACTAGGTAAACTCCTATGGGTCCAACAGGTGTCAATGTCTGCCAAAGTGGAATATCTTTGGATCTACTATTGATGCACTTTTTATCCACAAGGATGATCTCCATACACAAGGATTTTTCCTTAAGAACTCTGACTTCCATATATTGCTCTAGCTAAAGGGGATCTTGGAGCAGAATGAAAACTGAAATTGTGTCATCCAATATTCTACTTTCTTAGACTAAAGTTCCTAAACCCTATGCCCATTAATTTCCCATTCTTCCCCCCCTAGCCCCTGGCACAACCACCATTCTGTTTTCTGTCTCTATGAATTTGACTCCTCTGGGTACTTCATCTAAGCAGAATCTTACAGGCCAGTTCCTTTTGAGACTGGTTTATTTCACTCAGCACAGTGTGCCTGGGTTCATCTATGCTGTAGTGTGTGTCAGAGCTTCTTTCCTTTTTTAAGGCTGCATAATATTCCATTGCGTGGATACACCACATTGTGCTTATTCATTTACCCGTCGTTGGACATTTGGGTTGTCTTCATTTTTTAGCTCTTGGGAGTAATAGCGCTATGGATGTAAAAGTACGAATGTCTCTTTGAGTCCCTGCTTTCAGTTCTGTTGAGTCTATACCCAGAAGGAGAATTGTGGCATCATCATCATTATTTTTAATATGTTGAGAAACCACCATATGGTTTTCCACAGCAGCTGTAGCATTGTATTAGGTCGGTGCAAAAGTAATTGCAATTTTTGCCGTTAAAAGTAACGACTAAAACCGCATTTACTTTTGCACCAACCTAATACATTCCCAGCAACAAACAGTGCACAGGGGTTCCAGTTTTTCCATATCCTCATCAACACTGGTAATTTTCTTTCCTTCTTTTTAAAATAATAGACAGCCTTGTGGGCTTCACTTTTAATTTCCATTTTCTTCTTGAAATCTTGGAGGTTGAGCAAGGAGGAAATGCACATCTTAGTGGAGAATTCATAGCTACCGCCAAGCCTAATGGCTCAGAGCAGGGGTTTGGAGGACAAATTGTCTGGGTGAGTCCTGGCTCTCACTGTCCTAGAGATGATGGGGCCCTTGGAAAGGTAAGTTCAGCCTTTCGGTCCAATGTTCTCATCTGCAACAAGGGGTTGTAACAATCAACACTATCAGCCGGGAGCGGTGGCTCAGCCTGTCCCAGCACTTTGGGAGGCCAAGGCAGGCAGATCACCTGAGGTCAAGAGTTTGAGACCAGCCTGGCCAACATGGTGAAACCCCGTCTCTACTAAAAATACAATAATTAGCTGGGTGTGGTGGAAGGCACCTGTGATCCAGCTAGTCAGGAGGCTGAGTCAGGAGCATCGCTTGAACCCGGCAGGCAGAGGTTGCAGCGAGCAAGATTGCACCACTGCTCTACAGCCTGGGTGACAGAGTAAGACTCCAACTCAAAAAACAACAAAAAACAAGCAAACCAAAAAACAACACTATCTTACAGGGCTGTTATGTGGACTAAGTACGTTACTCCACAGTAAAGCACTCAGGAACCGCCAGTCACAGAATAATGCTCTTGAATCAGTTATTACTATTATTACTATCATTATGTCTTTGTTTTCATTTCTAACTGTACCTGTGAGAACTTCCAACACTCCCGAAAATAAATTAGAAGTGTTCAGTGGTTTGGGTGACCTCTTCTCCCCACATTCATGGCCAGGTTTCTGAAAAACTGGCTACTTGAAGGGTCTACTCAAAGTACAGATGTAGAATCCTATAGCAGGGTCTGTCCTCCTACAGGATCTCTGTTAGGGCATCAGGGGACAGGATCCAACCTCATCAAATTCCTGGACCCTGGACAGGCGTGATTGTTTAGCTGATGGTGGACAATCTTTTGCACATGAGTCGAGCAAGAGCCTTTAATCCATTCAAACTTAACCCAAGATTTACAAGAAAAATGCAAGTATGTACCTACCAGGGACATCTTCTCTTCTTTTGTTTTCTTCAGAAATCAAAGTAGGAAAATTTGATTTGCCTGGAATGTGTAGATTTCCTCTTTCAGTTATGATGGAATTTTGTAGCAAACCAGCACTTCCTCTGAAAAAAAGTAGATAAAATCTGGTTTAAAGCAATTCTGTTTGAAGTCTTTGAAAAGCTGGGTCCCATAGGGTCAGCTACAGAAAGTGGGGGAGGAGGAGGGAGGGAGAGAGAGAGAGAGAGAGAGAGAGAGAGAGAGAGAGAGAAGCTCTTGGAATGAAACAAATTTTGCCTCCTCAGGGCATTTGCTAGTTCCTGACAAGGGACAAGAGGGTGAGAATCTGGGGAGAGGGAGTGGTTAAGAGAGAAAACAGCAGCACTTTAAGTAACCTCGTGGGGGTGGGGAGAGGTAGACATGTGGAGCTGTCCAGGTATTCTGACTTGAAAAGCCAAGATTCTAGAGGGAAATGAGATGTGAACTGAACACTTGGTAAAGGTTTTCCCCTTGCAGCATTTGCAAATTCAGCTCTGTGCTGGAGAGAGGCTAGCAGAGAGCGGCTGACAGCAGCTTTCATTGGTAAGGGTGCAAAGGAGACAGAAATAAAAATCCAATACCCTCCAAAAAAAATGGTGCCTCACAAATTGGGAGGTCTAGAGGTTTACAGCCCAGGAATGTGGGCAAAGCAGATACAGACTGAGCCTTCCCATGAGTGCAAGCAAAGGCAGGTGGGTGGGAGTTCAGAAGGTTAAAATTGACTTCATCGTATTAAATGAAACCCCTACACATTCCTACTGCAAGTGTCACATGGGATATATTATTTATTACATATTAAAGGTAATACAGCACTAGGCTAAATTTATTAGTCATAGTTAGATGTTCATACTCCAGTTTTGCTCACTATACTCTTGAAAGAATGTAGGAAGTGAAAACCTGGAGAGTTCCTAAAAAGGAACAGTAAGAATCACCAGAAGTTAAAAAAGAATCATTTAGGAAAAGCCACAAGAATTGTTTTTATTGAAACTGTCCTCAAGAAAATACAACGTGCTGAGAAAATGTTTGGATGTTTTCAAGGAGCGGCATGCTTAGGTTATTTCGCTATGGTTAGAAATTGGTTGGTAACATAAGCAAAAGTGTGCACAAATATTAAAGCTGGCTGAGGAGGGGCGTCCTCCATGGATACAGGGACCTCAGGGCTGAAACAGGCAGCCTTGCACTGAGTGTGGGGGACTCGCCTGGGTTCTGGAGCTACCTCCACATTCTAATTCTGTGATTGTGACTCAAGAGCTGCCACCAAGTCTTCCCCATAGCACTGTTGCTGATGTCCCAGTGACATGGGATTTGAGCTCTGGCATCTCAAAATGTGTTTCTGTCTTCATGACTCTCAAAAATTCTGGAAAGAAAAGTGCTTCCTGACCTCTGAAGGAAGTTAGGACATTCCCTGGGAACTTTATAAGAACCTGATCTCAACTATAGGAAACAAAAATACTCACCCCTTAGCTCAATTTAAACCCTGTTTGTTTTCATTCATTCGTTTCATAATTTGCCTGTGTTTTCTTCTGAAACACCTGTGGGCCCTCCCCTTCCTCCTCATCACAGCACCCCCAGTCCCCAGTAGCTGCTGTATCTCTCCTTTACCCAGTGGGTGGCTGGGTCCTCGTGGCTGAGGACGTTCTCCTCAAGGGGGCACATTGTAGGCTCACTCTTTTCTTCCTCGTAGGCTCTGCTCTTGAGATTCCATCCTCCTACAGGATCTCCACTAATAATCTAACTTCTGTAAACCATGACTGTTTCAATTCCTTTCGGTAGCTTTGGAGAAAAACTTGGCCATTGTGGAGACACGGACACCTTTCTTCTCCGTCCTTCTTTTCAAAGACGGCTGTGAGAGAGCGCTTCAGGAGAAAATGCTCCAACTGAAGGCTGGGATGCATCAGCCCTCAGAGAAGAAGGGACCTGATGAGAAGGGAGTGGATGAGCAGAAGCCTCGGCCTGAGGAAGCAGAATTCTCCTCTGTATCCCGCAGTGGGTAAGAGACTTCCCACTCTCAGCGTTAAGTCACTGCTGTCAGAGCAGCTCTCGGGGCCTGCATCCAGCCTCCAGACCTTAATCGTAGGACTTGCTCTTAACATCGTCCTGGAAATTTCTTTAGATGAAAATCTGTAAAATTTTTATGAGTAATGACTTTATATTATTCAGAGAAATGTGGTTTTATTCTAACATTGCATGTATTCACCAAATATATGGTCCTCATGAGCTTATAGAGACCATTCACATGGCTATGGAAATCTTCCAGTCATGTGAATGGTCTCTCTTCTGGATCCACGGGAGCATGTGGAATCTCCTATTTCTTCAGATGTTACTCTGGTAATGCTGAACCATCCCAGTGCCTGAGGAGGTAGATTTTTTTTTTTTTTTTTTTTTTTTTTTTTTTTGACACAGAGTCTTGCTCTGTCGCCAGGCACCAGGCTGGAGTGCGAGTGCAGTGGCGCGATCTCGGCTCACTGCAACGTCCGCCTCCCAGGTTCAAGCAATTATCTTGCCTCAGCCTCCAGAGTAGCTGGGACCACAGGTGGGTACCACCACACTCAGCTAATTTTTGTATTTTTTAGTAGAGACGGGGTTTCACCATGTTGGCCAGGATGGTCTCGATCTCTTGACCTTGTGATCCACCTGCTTCGGCCTCCCAAAGTGCTGGGGATTACAGGCGTGAGCCACCGCGCCCGGCCAAGGAGGTAGATTTATACAGAGGTCCCTCCATTATACTTCATCGTACATGGAAACTCAGGTGCCTGGCTTCTGGAATGGCAATTCGATAAGCTCAGTTTTAAAAATAAGCTTACAGAATTGTCAAATAGTTGCCTGTTGGCTAGATTTGTCAGTTTGTCTTCAATGGCCATTTTCCTACAGGTTTTTGGAAGTATTTAAATAATATGGAGTTAATCCATTACACATTTGCCTGTGAGCACCAGTTACTGAAAATATTAACTTTCACTAATTTGCCTAAATGCTGCACAGCTTTGGAAGTGATTCAAATCCTGCTTCATGCTCCATTAGGTCACTTTCCAATATATTCCCCTTAAATTTCACTGACCCAGAGAATAATGTTATTTAGATGTAACATAACTCTAGGCCGGGCGCGGTGGCTTATGCCTGTGATCCCAGCACTTTGGGAGGCTGAGGTGGGCGGATCACTCGATGTCAGGAGTCTGAGATAGCCTGGCTAACATGGTGAAAGTCTCTAATGAAAACACAAAAATTAGCCAAGCATGGTGGTGGGCACCTGTAATCCCAGCTGCTCCGGAAGCTCAGGCAGGAGAATTGCTTGAATCTGGGAGGCGGAGACTGCAGTGAGCTAAGATCATGCCACTGCACTCCAGCCTGGACCACAGAGTGAGACTCCATCTCAAAACAAAAAACCAAACCTCTGGAGTCAGTCAGTCTCATGTCCTCATTTTAGAAGCTGGAACACTTAGGCCCCAAGTGATAGTCATTTGATCAGTTGCGTAATAGCCTCTGGCAGAGATAACATTAGAATCCTGTGCTCTCGATTCACAAACCCACACTACACCCACTTTGTCAAACATATTTTTAAAAATTATACTCCTGTGATCATTCTTTTCTTTTTTTAATAGACTTTCTTAGAGCAGTTTTAGGTTCCAGCAAACTTGAGTGGAAAGTAACAAAGTTCCCACACGCCCCCGCCCCTGCAGACACACAGCCTTCCTCACTCAGTATCTTGCCCCAAAGTGATAACATTTGTTACAGTCAATGAACCTACACTGACTCATCATCATCACCCAAAGTCCACAGTTTGCAGTGGGTTCATTCCTGGTGGTATATATTCTATAGGTTTTGACACAAGAATAAGTGTATAATGGCATGTATCCACCATTATAGTAAAGAGTGACTATTCCCTGCCCTAAAAATGCTCTGTGTTCGGCCTATTCATCCTCCTTTTCCCAGCACTTGGCCACCACTGATCTTTTCACTGTCTTCACTGTTTGGCCTATTCCCTAGTGTCATATAGTCAGAGTCACACAGTGTGTAGCTCTTTTAGATTGGCTTCTTTCATGGAGTAATACACTTAAGGGTCTTTCATGTCTTTCCATGGCTTCGTAGCTCATTTCTTTTTAGTACCAAATAATATTCCATTGATTGCATGTGCCACAATGTATCCATTCACCTACTGAAGGACGTCTTGGCTGCTTCCACGGCTTTGCAGTTACAGCTAAAGCCTCTGTAAACCCCACGTGCAGGTTTTTGTGTGAACACACGTTTTCAGCTCATTTGGGTAAATACTGAGGAGCAGATCACTAGGTCATTTGGTAAGAGTATGTTTAGTTTCACAAGAAAATGCCAAACTGCCTTCCAAAGTGGCTTTACTATTTTGCATTCCCACCAGCAACGAATGAGAACACCTGTTGTACTCATCCTTACCAGCACCTGGTGGTATCGGTGTTCTGGATTTTCCCATTCTAATACGTGTAGGGTGGGACCATGTTTTAATTTTCCGTTCCCTAATGGCATATGATGGGAGCATCTTTCCGTATTCTTATTTATTATCTCTGCATCATCTTTGGTGAGGCGTCTTTTGCCCATTTTTTATTGGGTTGTTCAATAGTGCTGAATTTAAGAGTTCTCTGTGTATTTGGGATAACAGTTCTTTACCAGATGTGCCTTTTGCAAATATTTTCTCCCAGTTTGTTCTAATTTTCTTGATGAGTCTTTTGCAGAGCAGAAGTTTTTAATTTTAATAAAGTCCAGATCATCAATTATTTCTTTCATGGGTTATGCCTTTTGTGTTATATCTGAAAAGCAGTCATGCAGCTGGGCTCCATGGCTCATACCTGTAATCCCAGCACTTTGGAAGTCTGCATGAGCCATGATCATGCCATGATCACACCCAAGGAGGGCTGCATCTCTGATGTTTTTCCTAGTTGGCTATTTTAGCAATGAATGAGCCATAAGGGTTTTGTTGTTTTGAGATGCAATTTTGCTCTTGTCACCCAAGCTGGAGTGCCGTGCCTCAATCTTGGCTCACTGAAACCTCTGGCTCCTGGGTTCAAAGAATTCTCCTGCCTCAGCCTCTCAAGTAGCTGGGATTACAGGTGCTCACCACCATCCGGCTAATTTTTATATGTTTAGTAGAGACGAGGTTTCACCATGTTGGCTAGGCTGGTCTTGAACTTTTGACCTTAGGAGATCCACCTGCCTCAGCTTCCCAAAGTGCTGGGCTTACAGGCATGAGCCACCACGCCCGGCCCACATGGGCTTTGATCTGGTACTATTCCCTTTCCTCATTTCACCCTGAGGAACAAAGCAATGAAATGTTGCCTCTAGGATTATAGCAGCCAAGAAAAGACTGGAACTTCTCAATGGCTGAGCACGTACTATGCTCCCAGTACTGACCACTATCCGTATGTTGCCTCATTTAATTGACACAGGGATCCCCTCAAGTAAGCAGTGGTGTTCTGGTTTTATAGTGGAGGACACTGAGGCTCAGTAAAGTTAAGGAACTTACTGAAGACAAAGAATTTTGCGGTCATATAAATTTGAGTCTACCTGACTCAAAGCTTAGGTTCTGAGCCCTTCACTCCACAGCCTGAGAAGTCAGGGATGCGCACAGAGGATGCTCGCTGCTTCCCAGCACCGCTTTGCTGGGCTTCTCCTTCACTCTGCAGCCTGGGAAGTCAGGGATGCGCTCAGAGGATGCTCCCTGCTTCCCAGGACCGCTTTGCTGGGCATCTTCACTCCGCAGCCTGAGAAGTCAGGGATGCACGCAGAGGGCGCTCGCTGCTTCCCAGCACCGCTTTGCTGGGCTTCTCCTTCACTCTGCAGCCTGAGAAGTCAGGGGTGCACACAGAGGGTGCTCACTGCTCCCCAGTACCGCTTTGCTAGGCTTCTGGAGCCAGTGTTCTTTCCATTCCACTTTTTCTGCTCCGTGCACCCAGCACAGAGGTTTCTGTGCTGTATAAGGACAAGACCTTATACATCCTGCACATCTAAGAATTTGTAAATAGATGAGCTGTGCTTGATATGCACATCATTTGTGCCAAGGAGCCAACAGGAGTTTCATGTGCATCCTTGACTCAGTTGCCCAGAGGCACTTGTTTCAACCTCAGCACAGCCCCAGGCAGTGGCAGAAAGGCAAGCACACGTTTCCCTCACCTGCAATCCGTCCACCACCTGCAGGGAGGTGTGGCCTCCAGAGTGACAAATCTGGAGAGCACCAGCCTGACTTTTTGCCATGGCCATGTTTCCTAAGGGAGATGGAAGCCCTCCTCTTTCCCATTTGAAGTCACTGTCCTTTCAGGCGGGCAACTGTCTATCCACTTCCTCTTGCTTTTTGAGCCAAAATTTCTAGAACAGCCAACCAGTAGTAGTGCACTGGCATAGCAGCTGCACTGTGAGGCTGAATGCCCCTCACCAAAGCCAAGTCTCTGTGGCTTTCCATCTGCAGTGTGGAGTGTGTTCCCCGTGGGGCATGACCAGGGAACGTTAAAACACTGATCACTGCTACAGGCACGACTTAGAGCCTCCTATGGCCATAGCTGAGAGTAAACTGATTTCCTGGCATAAAGGAGGTTTGAGAGGAGGCGGGATCACGTTTTGATTGAGTCCTACTCTAAGTCAGGCATTGCACTAAAGACGGAACAGTTTTCCTTACTCGTCATTTCACAGTGATTCTAGTTAGTGTCTGGTACTTTATACACTGGAGGAAGAGAGGTCTGCTGGAGACTGATTGAAATATCCAGTTCCTAGAAGAATGTGATACTGTTGAGGGCAAACAGAAACCTCATCCCACCTGCTCAGAGGAGAAACTTGTCTGTTCTGCAGCCCTTGATAACAATCCTTGAAAAGGGAAAGACTGTTAGACTTCTCTGAATTGGCCAGGCGTGGTGGTTCACACCTGCAATCCCAGCACTTTGGGAGGCCGAGGTGCACGGACCATAGGGTCAGGAGTTCCAGACCAACCTGGCCAATATGATGAAACCCTCTCCCTACTAAAAATACAAAAATTAGCTGGGCATGGTGGCGGGCACCTGTAGTTATAGCCACTTGATAGTCCCTGGGAAGTGAGTCTGATGACATCCGCCTTCGTCTTCATTCCCTGGATTGCTTTAATAGTTATCTTGGGCTTCCAAACAAAGCACCACAAACTGGGCATCTTAGAATGGAAATGTGTTCTCTCACGGTTCTGGAGGTCAGACATCTGAAATCAGGGTGTCAGCAGGGCCACGCTCCCTCTGAAAGCTCTAAGGAAGGACACTTCCTGGCCTCTTCCTAGCTTCTGGTGGTTTCTGGGGTGTTCCCCTGGCTTGTAGACACATCGCCCCGATTTCTGCCTCTGTTGGTACACGGTCTTCTCTGTGTGTCTCTTGACCTCTGTGTTCCTCTCATAAGGATGTAAGTCATGTTGGATTTAAGACCTACCTCCAATCCAGTATCATCCCATCTTAACTTATTGTATCTGCAAAAACCCCATTTACAAATAAGGTCACGTTCTGAAGTTCCAAGAGAACTGAATGAATGAATTCATTCGCTGAGTGGATTTTTGGAGGGCACGCTTCATCTCACCAGAATTCCCTTTAAAACACTTCATTTATGACTTCCCTGTTGGTTTCTCACTCAGATTCCTTTCTGGACAGATGCCAGCCCTGCCATTCCTGCTGATTCAGCTGCTCTACCCAGCAACCAAGAAACCAGCCCCGCCCAGCCCTTCCATCCTCCGAGCAGCACCGGCCAGCTGAGCAGGACACTAGAACATGGCAGCAGTGGCCCATGGGATGAGATGAGGCCTCAAAAATGGATGCATCTGGAGACCTGACCTCCTCCTTCTCTTTGTACTGGCCCAACTCCAAAGCCTCTGGTAAAACACAAAAGAGCACTTGGTGAAATTGAGCCCATTGATAGGAAAGACACATTCCTTTCCTGGCCAGAGAATTTTTTGATTCCTCTGATAGAACCTGGCTCACAAAAGATGAGGGGACAATATGTGGATCCGCCAGACAATGAGAACCAGCTCAGTGCTGGTTCCTCACAAGAGTCTTCTCCTAGTGCCCTACCTAGGGACCCACTCTGGGCGGGAGAGCAGGAGAAGTCAGGGACATTCTGAGGCCCTCCACAAGGAGGATGAGTGACCTCACATTTAAATGCTGCCTTCTCTTCATGCTACACCCTGTTAGGCCTAGAGTGTGAGTGTCCCGGAAGGCTCAGTTCAGATTTCCATGGGGAAGGTCTTCCTTAGGTCAAGAGCCACTGTAGGATGGGAAACTATTTCTACAGAGTCACCCACCCCTCCACACCCTTCCACTTGTTCCCACACACTGTGCATATAACCATGAGCCAGTCCTGCCCCTGTAAACATTGCTTTTGGATTTGGAGCCAGACATGCCGGCACCAGCAGCTAGGAGTGCAGCCGTTCAGAGGAACAGCTTGAAGCAGCTCCATTTCCGGGTCCCAGGTAGTGTAACAACAAGACACTTGAAATTCTCAGAGAAAAACCAGACCCCACGCAAAACCTCCCAGTGGGCGAAGCCTCTTCTCAGCCTCCTCCCTCTGTGCATCTTTTTCCTTCCTTGGAGATTGTTCCCTTCTCCTGTCCCTGTTCAGATCCTGACACCTCCACAGGCTCTTCCGTGCTCCTCTTTGCCAAAGCTGGTTAAAGGAGAACATTCGCTGTCACTCATTGTTCACAGCCTGGTTTAGTTTCGAGTGCACTTACCTTGGTCTTTCTCTCAAAGGCTGCGGAGTCAGGGACCATCACAGGGGAGAGGGATGAGGGGGAGAGGGAGGCTCTCTGGGTTGTTATCCATGGCCAGGAGGCAGCCTTTCCCATTACTAGGTCAGCTCTGCCTAGAGGCCTTTAGCAGTTTCTCACCCAGTGTCTGCCTCCCTGAGATGTGCTTGGCAGTCTCTGTCTGGAAGGAGGCCTGTGATGTTTCCTCACAGGGGGCCCCTGTGTGGTTGAAAGTCCAGGACCTCTTTAAGTAAAGTTGCCTGGTGCTTTCTGAATGCCCAGGGGAGAGGAGGAAGCTGACCGAAGGATGGAGATAGGTAGGGATCTCGCAGAGAGACGCCAGGTGGGCCTCACAGCTGCCCAGGGATGATCAGGCTTCCCTGCCTCACACCTCTCCTGTGTCTTGGTGGTTTGCAGTAGGGGCCAACCTGCTGGAAAAGAATCTTGCTGAGATCCAGAACCTACACCAGCGCCTGGAGGCATCCGTCACCGTCAATGACCACCTGAGGGAGAGGCTCGAGCATGTGCTCAGCCATGGTGACCAAGGGAAAGGTAGGAAGGCAGACATTTTATTTTCTGTTCACATCTAGGGAGTCTCTAAAGGGCATATAGCTTCTAGGGGCAGAGTTTCACAGTTTTAAAGCATGTGGGGGTGCCTGATTTCACTTGTTCCTTACTGTCAGCCCAGACAGGGAGGCAGGAAGGGTACTACTGTTCCCACTGAGTGGTTTGCCCCAAGTAGGGATCGGTCTCCTTCTCAGGACTATGTGCAGTGATGCCATTCTTATACGTCCTTATACAGCCTGGTGCTGCTCTTGGGCTTGTGGCCTGACTGGCGAGTGGTAGCTCCAAGGTTTCCATGGTGCCCACTTCAGCAGAGTGAGGGTGACCTTCTGCTTTTATGCTGTGACTAGGTATCACCTGCCTCTTCTCTTGTGCTAATAACCCTTATTCCCACACTCTTCCCCCTGGATGCTCTCACTTGGAGGCCAATCCTTCCACACCCCTTCTTTTTCCGTGTTAAGGCCAGAAGAATGATGACCTCCCATATCACAACAGAAGCCAGTTAGGGGAAAGACCCTGACCCGTACCTGAAGCCAGTGCACGTGAGAGTGTGTGGCCTGCTGTGGGTGCCCAGCACAACCTGAGCCTGAGCCGTATTGCACTGTTATCCCAGTGCATGGGGACGCCAGTTTCTGCTTGGCCGAGACTAAAACTTTAGTGGGTGCAGGAAAGTACATCTTTGAAAGTTTCTGTTCCCTAAATGTGTGACACAGCTGGGTTGTTTGTCTTCCCTGTGAAGTAGCTACCTCCATGTTTTATGGGGAGGACCTGTACTCCACATCCTACCTCTGCAACAGGAAAAGGACCTCAGGGAAACAAACTGGAATTTTCAGGCTCCCAGAAGGAAAAAAGCCAAAGCTGAGGTCACTTCCATATTTCTTCCTTTCTGCAGCAATGCCCAGTTGCAGAAGCAAAGAGAAGTGGGCAGCACAAAAATTGACCAGATCCACACAGCCTAAAACGATAATCACGTATTCTCAATCTAGATGAGGCTGCTGCTTACAGGATCTCACCTACATGTTCGCAGACTCCTGGCTCCAGGGGTAAATAGTTCTGGAAAATCTACATGCAATGTACAAGTTCCTTTCCCAATCTGCAGATAATCAGAGAGCTACTGGGTGTCAACTAGAAAGCAGCTTGGTGTCCCTCTTCCTGTCTCCCTCTTTCCAGTTGAGTAGGGAATAGGAGGGGGAAGCATATAGTTTCCGTTTGGTAAAATCGGTGAATTCCCTCAATCCATCCAGACTTCATTGCAGCCCTGCCTCTCCCTCCTAGGACTGCACAGTCCGCTCTAGCCCCTCATTCGTACACTCAGAGTCACTCTTCTGGCTCTGGTGAGGACATCCTGTGACATGATGCCTAGAGGGCCTAGAATAATGCTCTCCAGAACTTTTCCAGCCCTATCCAACAGAATTCTTGGGTGGGACCTTGGAGGCATTGATAGTACCTTTAAATGAAGAGATCAAATTAACAAATTATTTTTAAAACTAGGGTTTATATTTATTTGTTGAACACCTATAAAGAGTAAAATTTATGTAGAAAAGAATAAAACCTAGAGTGGTCTGAAGTTCATGGAAAAGATTGAAGGAGAAATGAGTTTTCTTTATTAGCTACCTCTGTTTCAGAGTAGAATGGGAAGTTCACCGCTGTGGGAAGGTAAGAAATATTAATGGATTGTGAGGATGTAGAATTCCTTGACTTCCATTACCTGCTTAGAAAGAACAGACAATCTATCCTATGTGAAAGGATAGCAGGATAAAATCTGAATGTTTTAAAATAAGGACAACTTACTGTACCAGGTGAACTTCATTCAAGAGGATGTCAGAACCTGCTTCTCAATGTGAATAAAGACCGAGAAGCCGGTAGCCGCTACCGCTGAGCAGCCGGAGGGACGCCCGCCTTAGCCAACCACGGCCGAGAGCGACTGGGACACGGTGACGGTGCTGCGCACGAAGGGCCCTACGGCCGCCCAGGCCAGGTCCAAGCAGGCTATCTTAGCAGCACAGAGACGAGGAGAGGATGCAGAGACTTCCAAGAGATGGGCTGCTGGCCAGAACAAACAGCATTCTATCACCAAGAACACAGCCAAGCTGGACCGGGAGACGGAGGAGCTGCACCGTGACAGGGTGACCCTGGAGGTGGGCAAAGTGATCCAGCAGGGTCGGCAGAGCAAGGGGCTCACGCAGAAGGACCTGGCCACGAAAATCAATGAGAAGCCACAGGTGATCGCGGACTATGAGAGTGGACGGGCCATCCCCAATAACCAGGTGCTGGGCAAAATCGAGCGGGCCGTCGGCCTCAAGCTCGGGGGGAAGGGCATTGGAAAGCCCATCGAGAAGGGGCCCAAGGCGAAATGAACACAAAGCCTCGAAATCAGTGCGCTCCAGGTGACCTCGTTCTGCGGGTTCCCCTTGGCCGCCAGCATCTCCGTGGGTCTCCTCAAGGGCCGAGTGGAACAAGGGGTCCAGCTTGTGGGGGCCTCCCCAGCCCATTCCTGCTGTCAAACAAACAAAGCGGAAAAAAAATACTGAGAAGTCATGAAGAGCACAGCCGCTCAAGCCTGGAAAATGGCCGTTCTGACTACTGTGAGACGGTATCTCGCTGCAGTTTTAATGTTCATCTCTCTGACGCTTAGTGATGTTGCGCATTTTTCCATGTTTGTCGGTTGCTTGTATTTGTCTGATGCGTAGTTTTCAAACACTTTCTCCCATTCTGTAGGTTGTGTGTCTACCCTGTTGATTGTCTCTTTTGCTATGCAGAGGCCTTTTAAGTTTCAGTCCCGTTTGTTCATTTTCATTTTCGTTGTATTTGCTTTTGAGGTCTTGGTCACAGGCCGATGTTGAGAAGAGTTTTCTACATTTTTATAGTTTGACATCCTGTATTTAAGTCTCTAAACCATCTTGAATTAATTTTTGTATGTGGTGGGATGTCGGGGTCCAGTTTCATTCTTCTGCATTTGGCCAGCTAGTTTTCCCAGCACCATTTATTGAATAGGGTATCCTTTCCCTCATTGTTTATTTTGAAAACGATGTTAAAGATGAGTTTGTTGCAGGTGTGTGGCTTTATTCCTGGGTTCTCTATTCTTATCCATTGATTCATGTGTCTGTTTCTTTACCAGTACCATGCTGTTTGGTTGCTATAGCCTTGTAGTATAGTTTGAAGGCAGGTAATGTGATACCTCTGGATTGTTCTTTTTGCTTTAGACTGCTTGGCTATTCCAGTTCTTTTTTGGTTTCCTGAATTTTTTTTTTTTTTTTTTGAGACAGGGATCTCTCTCTCTCTCTGTCTCCTAGGCTAGAGTGTTGCGGCATGATCTCAGCTCGCTGCAACCTCTGCCTCTGGGTTTGAGTGATTTTTCCCACCTCAGCCTTTTAAAGTATCTAGGACTATAGGCATGCACAACTATGCCTGGCTAATTTTTGTGTTTTTTTTTGGTAGAGACAGGGTTTTACCACATTGGCCAGGCTGCTCCTGATCTCCTGACCTTAAGTAATCCTCCTGCCTCGGCCTCCCAAAGTGCTGGGGTTGCAGGTGTGAACCACCATGTCCAGCCCATTTTTTTCTAATTCTGTAAAAAAAAAAAAAAAATGACAATGGTAACTTAATAGGAATTCATTGAATCTTTAGATTGCTTTGGGCAGAATGATCATTTTATCAATATTGATTCTTCCAGTCCACAAGCATTGAATGTTTTCCCACTTGTTTGTGTAGTCTGTTATTTCTTTAATCAGTGTTTTGTGGTTCTCCCAGTAGAGATCTTTCACCTCCTTGGTTAAATGTGTTCCTAGGTATTTTGTTTACTTGTGTGTGTGTGGGGGGGAGGGGCTATTGTAAATGGGAGTAAGTTCTTTATCTGATTCTCAGCTTGAGCATTTCTGGTGTATAGAAATGCTACTGATTTATGTATGCTGATGTTGTAACCTGAAACTTTACTCAACTTGTTTATAAAGTCTAGGAGTATTTTGGAGGAATCTTTAGGGTTTCTAGATAGAGGATTGCGTCTTTGGTGAACAGAGATAATTTGACTTCCTCTTTTCCTGTTTGGACGGCTTTTATTTCTTTCTCCTGCCTGATTTCTCTGGCTAGGATTTCCAGTACTATGTTGAATAGGAGTGGTGAGAGTGGACATCCTTGTCTTCTTCCAGTTACTAAGGGAAATGCTTCCAACTTTTGCCTATTCCGTATGATGTTGGCTATGGGATTATCACAGATGACTCTTATTATTTTGAGTTAATGTTCCCTTGATACATGGTTTGTTGAAGGTGTGTATCATGCAAAGAATGTAAGATTTTATTAAATGCCTTTTTTTGCACCTATTGGGATAATCATATTGTTTGTGTTTTTAATTCTGTTTAGGTGGTGAAGAGCATTTTTTTGATTTGCATATGTTGAACCATCCTTGCATCCTAGGAATAAGGCCCACTTGATCATGATGAATTATCTTTTTGACGTGCCGCGGGATTCAGTTTGCTAGTATTTTTGTTGAGAATTTTCACATCTATGTTCATCAGGGATATTGGCCGGTAGTTTTCTTTTTTTAACTGTGGCCCTGCCAGATTTTGGTATCAGGATGAGACTGGTTTCATAGGATGAGTCAGGAATCCCTCCGCCTCAATTTTTTGGAATAGTTTTAATAAGACTGGTACCAGCTCTTCTTTGCATGTCTGGTAGAATTCAGCTGTAAATCTGTCTGGTCCAGGGCTCTTTCTGGTTAGTAGAATTTTTATTACTGATTCAATTTTATAACTCATTTTTGGTCATTTCAGGTTTTCAATTTCTTTCTGGTTCAATTTTAAGAAGCTGCGTGTTTCCAGAATTTAACTATTTCCTCTAGGTTTTCTAGTTTGTGCATATAGAGATGCTCATAGTAGTCTCTGAAGATCTTTTGTATTTCTGTGGTATGAGTTGTAATGTCACCTTGGTCGTTTCTGATTGAGCTTATTTGGATCTTTTTTCTTGATTAATCTAGCTAGTGGTCTATCGATCGTGATTGTCCATTCAAACAACCAACGTTTCATTTCATTGATCCTTTGTATGGGTTTTTTTGGTCTCTGTTTCATTTAGTTCTGCTCTGATTTAGTTATTTTTTCCTTCTAGCTCTGGGCTTTGCTTCTTGTTTTTCTAGTTCCTTTAGGTGTGATATTAGGTTGTTAACTTGAGATATTTCTATCTTTTCGAGGTAGGCATTTAGTGCTGTGAACTTTCCTGTTAATACTGCTTTTGCTGTATCCCAGCAGTTTGGGCGTGTTTTGTCTCCACTTTCCTGTTAATACTGCTTTTGCTGTATCCCAGCACTTTGGGCGTGTTTTGTCTCCACCTTCATTTGTTTTATTTCTGCCTTAATTTTATTGTTTACCCAAACTTGATTCAGCTGTTTAGTTTCCATGTATTTGTGTGGTTTTGAGAGTTCCTCTTGGCATTGATTTCTGCTTTTATTCTACTGTTGTCCGAGAAGACACTTGATATGATTTCATTTCTTAAGAAAACATTATGGAGACTTGCTTTATGACTGAGCATGAGGTCAATCTTAGAGAATGTTCTGTGCACAGATGGGAAGAATGTATATCCTGTGGTTGTTGGGTATTCTATAGACATCTACTAGGTTCGTTTGGTCAAGAGTCCAATTTAAGTCCAAAGTTTCTTTGTTAGGTTTCTGCCTCAGTGACCTGTCTAGCGTTGACAGTGGGATGTTGACATCCTCCACTCTTATTGTATGTTTCTTTGCTTAGGTCTAGTAGTACTTGCTTTATAAATCTGGGTACTCCAATGTTAGGTGCATATATATTTAGGTTAGTTAAATCTTCTTGTTGAATTGAATGCTTTATGATTATATAATGACCTTCTTTGTCTTTTTTTTTTAAAAACTGTTGTTAGTTTAGTTTTTCATTTGATACAAGAATAGCAACTCCTGATCATTTTTGTTTTCCATTTGCATAACAGATCTCTCTCTATCCCTTTACTTTGAGTCTATGGGGGCTATTGCATGTGAGATGGGTCTGTCTTAAAGGCCACAGAAAGTTAGATTTTTTTTTTCCCCAAATTGCCAATCTATTCTTTCCTTCTTTTTGAGATGAAGTCTCACTTTGTTGCCCAGGCTGGAGTGCAGTGATGCCATCTTGGCTCACTGCAACCTCCGCCTCCCAGGTTCAAGTGATTCTCCTGCCCCAGCTTCTCGGCTAGCTGGCATTACAGGCACCTGCCACCATATCCAGCTAATTTTTGTATTTTTAGTAGAGATGTAGTTTCATCATGTCGGCCAGGCTGGTCTGGAACTTCTGACCACAAGTGATCTGCCTGCCTTGGCCTCCCAAAGTGCTGGGATTACAGGTGTGAGCCACCGCATCTGGACAACTCTGTCTTTTACGTGGAGCTTTTAGGCTATTTACATTCATGGTTAATATTGATGTGTGAGGTGTTGTTCCTATCATAGTGCTTAGCTAGTTGCTTTGTAGACTCAATTATGTATTTCTTTATAGGGTCTATGAACTTTGTAATTACATGTGCTTTTATGGTAGCAAGTACCATCCATGTTTAGAACATCTTTGAACATTTTTATAGAGGCTGTGTGGTGTTAATAAATTCCCTTAGCATTTCTCTGTCTGGGAAAAACTATTTCTCCTTCATTTATGAAGCTTAGTTTGGCAGAGTCTGAAAGTTTGATGGACACTTTCTTTTCTTTTAGGTAGCTGGAAAATAGGCCCCAATCTCTTCTGACTTATAAGATTTCTGTTGAGAAGTTTGCTGTTAGTCTGACGGGATTTCCTTTATAGATAATTTGGCCCTTTTCTTTAGCTGCCTTTAAGATTTTTTCTTACACACTGACCATGGAAAGTCTGATGACTGTATGCCTTGCACAGTTATCTCATGTAGGATCTTGCATAGTTGTCCAAATTTCTTGTATCTGGATATCAATCTCTCTAGTAAGATGAGGAAAATTTCTTCCTGAATTATTCCCTCAAATATGTTTTCCAGGTTACTTGCTTTTTCTTCTCTCTCTCAGGAATGCCAATAATCATAGGTTAGGTTGCCTTACATAACCTCATAATTCTCAAAAGCTTTGTACACTTTAAAAAGTTCATTTTTCTTTATTTTTGTCTGACTGGGTGAATTTGAAAGACCAGTCTTCAAGCTCTGAAATTCGTTCTTCTGCTTGTCTGGTCTATTGTTAAAACTTTCAGTGTATTTGAAATTCCTTTAGTAAATTTTTCAATTGCAGAAGTTCTATTTGTTTTTTCTTAATGCAGTTATCTTGACTTTTATATTCTGCGTTGTTTTTCTGGTTTCTTTGTACCCCGGACTTCAATTTTTTTCTTGGATCTTGTTGAGTTTCTTTGCAATCCATATTTTGAATTCTTAT